TGAACTTGAAATTAGAGCTTGAACTTGGAACTAATTAGCTTGAATATATAACTAATTAAGTTTAGAAATTAGATATGAACTTGAATTGAAAACTTGAACTTATTAAAGCTTGAATATATATATATATAAATAAATAAAAAACTAATATTCTTGGATTTGAATTTTATATTAAACTAATTTTAGAACTTTTCGTGTTAGGCAACTGAGGAAGCTTAACATCTAAAAAAGTTGATACAAGACTATATTGCTTCTTTTTATCAAAGTAGGAGATAAGGTTGGTGCTTCTAAATTTCTAAAGTTCAATTACACTTGTTTTCAATAATGTGTTTGTGTCCATCTAGTATTGATATTACTTTGCTTTAATTTTGTGATAATTTATTTGTGTCGATCGAGTGTTTGTTTAGCATAAGTACCAACACTAGTTGATCCTATTGATGACAAAATTGATTTTCTTGCAAGATCGATTTGTGTCCATCTAGTGTTGACACTTAGCTTTAAATTTAGAAATAATATATTTGTTAAGCATAAGTACCAACACTAGTTGATCCTATTGATGACAAAATTGATTTTCTTGCAAGATCGATTTGTGTCCATCTAGTGTTGACACTTTAGCTAGCATGACTTGATGTTTGGATGTAGTGGACTCAATCATGCTTGATTTGTTCATTTTCACTTTGTCCATTTGTTTATCACATAGATAGTATAATCTTCAAATAAGCTCAAAGATTTAGGAATTTTCATTACATTTTGGCCTAAGACCATGTGTTGTGCTTGATACTCCTAGATAATAATATAATATGGTTGGTTTGTTAAATTGATTCCCTTAATTTAATAATGCATGTTCTACTTCTCTGTTATTGTTTAACTTATTAAATTTGCTTTGTGAGTGGCACCACTCATGAAAGAAAATAAAAATAAAAATTATGACTTTCTTCCTTATAATTTTGTCCTATGTGACATGTTTTGTTTTTATGACTTACGGTGTGCAACAGTAGTATAGTAAACTTCCTTTTTTTTTTAATTAATCTAATGCTATTTATTTCATGCTGCTTATATTGATTCAGTATATTGGCTCTTATGTATATTTTTTTTTTTTGGGTACATGTGATCCCGTATGAGTTCTCAATGGACTCTTTACCTCTTTACAATTGAGTTGGGCCATGGAAGCCCAGCAAACCTCCCGTCATCGAGTTGACCTCATCATTCCAAGAACTGAATGCTGATTTAAAAGGCTGGAAAATTGAAAATACGGGAGCCAAAACACACTTATGTATAGTGTGATACATCGATATACATAAGTTGTATACGATGTATATTACATCGAGGATGGGCTAAAGGAGCCCCAAAAATTTCAGCTTTGTGTTTTTGTAATTATTGAGCCAATGGCCCATTTATTTTTATTATTATTTTGTTAGTTTAGGACAGGTGAAAATTGGGCCTAAGGCCCAAAGAGAAAGTCAATTGTTTTATGTTTAGTTCTAGGATATGTACAAAATGGGTCAAGGGCCCAAAGTTGAATTTAGGCCCTCGAATCGGCCCAGGCGAACAGAAACCGGACTTGGGACGATATCTTCTTTTCTTTGTTATTTAATTGCTCTTGCATGATTATTTGTTTATTTAATTTTAAGATTTTTCCTTAAATCGATTCCCCAAAGGAAAACCATTTTGAATTAATCACTTATATTTTTCTAAAGATGGAATAAATACTTATTTTTCTACTTAAATTGCTTTGCAAAGTTTTACTTAAATATTATCCTCATAGTATTTCCTCTAATTAATCAAGCATGGCTTTTCTTTAAAATATTTTAGCCAAATAGTTAATTACCGAATAACCGCATGTTAGCGGACATTTTGGGTGCTTTCAAACCCTTTCCGAAATGTTAATATGAACTCCGAACTTCCTTTAAATATTTTCATTAGGTTTTCTGTTTTAAATCTTTTTGAAAAAATAGTTTTCTTAATTTTACTTTTAAAATTAAGTGGCGACTCTTAAAACTAGTCGTTTTTTGTTTTTTTTTGTTTTTTAAATAAAACATTGTAATTTAATTTTTGTATTTGAAGAAAACAAATTGGTCATCTATAATAAGTTTAACAAGAAAATTAGTGATACATAAATAAATTTGACCATCAAAATAATTTTTTTCATACATAAATTATTTTTTGACTTCTTTTATTATAATTATTTGAGTTTCTTATTCTTATTTTATTATTTTCTTTCATTCCTTAGTGTAAAGTAAAAAATTTAAAGCTATCTTTTTTGGCTATATTATAATTTAAAACTATTATTTTTGTCTATATTGTAATTTAATTTTTTTATTTGAAGAAAAAAATTTGGTCATCTATAATAAGTTTTACAAGAATATTAGTGAAACATAAATAAATTTGACCATCAAAATAATAAATCTAAATTAGTCATTAAAACAAAAAAAAAGTAGAAAAAAATATATATGTTTGAGGTGGATTAAATATACTCATATGGGACTATATTTTAAAAATAATAATAATAATAAAAAATTAAACTAAAATTAATTTCTTTTCATTTCTGTTAGAGGAAAAGGGTATATGTGAGCCATTTGTAATAAGTAGGGGTATATATGAGCCACTTTTATAAAGAGGGGTATATCAGCACTAAATGACAAAGTTGAGGCGTATATCCGACCCTTTTCCCTTAAAAAATTAAAGGTTGAGATTTAATTACCTAAATTGAAGTCCTAACCATGATTATAACAAATAATTTCTTTATTTTCTTATAAAAACATAAATTTCATATTTCAGAAGTCATTTAAAAAAAATACTTTTTTTTATGCGAGCTCTTTTTTTTTTTTTTTTAAAAAAGATATTTTTCATGTCCTCTTTTTTGTCATGGAGTTCTTTAATTTTTTTCTTGTTCTTCTTTACATTTCCATCAAACATTAGAGAAATAGTCATCTAGCTTAGGCCTTACGGAAGACCGTTAGAAAATTAATCAACATACAATGTTAAAAATTTTAAAAAATATTTACAATTTTTTTTAAAAAAAATAAAAATAAAGGATGATGTTAGTTTTTTTTCTTTCAATAACAAACTGCAAAAACAATAAATAGAACAAAATGCAAAAAGATTTTTTTGTAACAAAAAAAGGAAAAAATGTTCTTAAAAAGAGAGAGAAATTTTAGATATATTTATGCATTGAGATCCATTTTAGCTAGAATTATGAGATTGACTTTAAATAGGAAATATTATAAATAAATTATTTGTTATTCTAATCATGATTAGGACCTTGATTTAGATAATTAAATCTCAATCTTTAATTTTTAATTATGACACATATGGCTTCCATCCGAGTAGAAACTTGGTGAAATGGAGAGGAGCCATTTGACCACTGTTAGTCTAATTGCTTGTCTATAATCATCATTTGGTGTTTTATCTTATCATGTGGGGGTTAGTTTAATTTTAAGTGAAGGTTGTTTAAATATTGTATGCTTTCTTTTGTCATCTTTGCATACATTGGCACAGTGAACTAATCACATGCATGTTTTGCCTTATTTTTTTATGTGTCTTGGTTGTATTATATAAATTAATTACTAGATAAAGGGTAAGTATTGAGAATTAACCCCTATATATATGCCTCACCCCTGCCATATTGAGTTGATTTTATCCGAGAACTGAGAAGGAAGAGTCTGTCAAGAAAGAGCCGGAGACTCAGTTGGCTCCTAGGAAGGCAAAGGCGTGAGCATTGAATCTTCTGCAATGCCAAAGCTGTTTTAAGTTTAATGTCCTTAGTCTCTGTTATGAAACAATTTTGGCAGCTTGAACCATTTTTCTCCTTTAATTTGTCGCATTGTTCTGCATACTCTTACTATTTCTAAAGTTGAGTTGAATGTTTACCTTAAAAAAAAAAAAAAAAAGATAATTCAATCTAATATTAACACGATTGCAAGAACTGCAGAACATTATACTGGAGCTTGCTAGAAAGGCTAAAACATTTCAGTCTTTTTTGTTTTTTCGACTAAGCCCATGGCCGTGGAAGCAGTACTACAAACTTCTTGTTTGAAGGCTATATCTTGTTCTTTTTAGTTGTCCGAGGATACAATTTTAAGGTTGTAGCAAAGATGTTGGAAATGGAATGCTAATACAACCTAATAAAGCATGGTTATAGCTTCTCTAATAGCAGTGGCAAAACATCAGTAACTTAGAACTTGATAGCTACTTTCTCCAATTATCTATGCTGGCTCTCCAAACTCATAATGTGCTATAACCAAAGTCGAGCAAGATGATGAAAAATTACATAGCTACTATATGGCAGGCAGTATCATTTCGCATAGAACTTCAGTTTCGAACCAACTTGGTAGATCAGTTGTCACCCTGACTGCTTCAATCTGGAATGATTCACCATTGAATTCGTCTGGAAGTGATTCCATTTCGCATCTTAAGATCCAGGACTATAAATCACCTAAAACAACAACAATTAGACGGACCACTCTAATCCACTAATCCTATTTAACGACGAATTAACAAAAAATCTTGTTAGCTACAGACTATTTAGCAATGGGCATTTAAAAATTATAATAAGGGAATTCAAGAAAATACAAAGAGGTAATCTTAGTAGCTTAGTTGGTTGACTTTCATCTAGTTCGATTCCTACCTTGTAATGTCCTCCCCATTTCTCCTGCTACTAATAGCTATTTATACTTTGAACCATCATGTAGTGTAGGGAGAGTGTTGTTATACCTGAAGAATTTGCTAGGATTTGTAAGGTATCAACACTTATTGCACTGTTCCTTTTTGTCATGCCATGGTAAAAATCTTTACCTAATAATGACAATGGTTCTCTATGCTTCCTAATAGCAGCAACAACGACTCGAGCCAAAACTCATGAAAGGGCTTTCTTGTTGTGCCTCAATATGGCGATAGAAACGGCGTCCAGACAAGAAAATAGACAACCCAAGGATGTTGAAGGCGACACAAATGGCGAATCCAAGTACCCAACTAACATTGTCTTCAATGTACAAAAGGACTATGCTACCAATGGCATTGGACGCGTAGAGCACATAAGTATACCAATAGAAGAAAATCGCTTGATGATTTGGCTTATGGAATTGATTCGCTCATTGATCCGATGGTGAAACGTGTTCCTCTGTTTTCCAAATATGCTAGAGCTAAAGCTGCATATAAGATTGTAAGATGGAATGTTGATGCATTTCTACATTCATTTGAAGTTTTGAACCATCAAAGTATTTTGGAGGTCTCAATGTGTCGATCACTGCTGTGAAGGTGAGAAGCAACACTCCCTACAAGCCAATTTGAAAAGAAAAAAAACAACATGTGGTACATTAGATTAGTTTGATTTCAATAAGCGATCAGGTTGTCTAAAGATAACTATAAGTAACTGCTTATAGAACATACTTAGAAAAATAAAACAAACAACATGTTCTGACAAGCTAAATTGTAAAACGAATACAATAGCTAATTTCCTGAGTTATTAGGAAGCAACCTGCTACGACCCACTAAATTTTACTTTGTCACGCTGAACATGTTATACACAGTTCTATATCAAAGCAAAATCAGCATTGCTACCTGGATCCCCATTCAATAATATTCCACTATACTCTGTAGGAGTTACATCACGCCAAATATCCTTAGCTACTCCATTCTCAAATGATAAAATTAATGTCATGGTTCAAATGAAGGTATGAAGATATTAGTAAAAGTAGGAGTAACTAATTTGGTGGGAACTTATTGGGAATCAAATTGAAAGTTGCACAATTGTCTCACCATGACTTTATCACATACAAAGTTACCATTTGAAAGCTTTTATATGATGATTTTATATATTTTCATTTTTAATTTAGCATGGTATCTTTTTATATGATGTTTCAATTAAGAATGAGAAAGCAGGAATTTCAAATAACATTCATAGTGTTTAAAATACAATTGTGATGTGAAAACTCAAGATATATCCATGTAAAACGAACAATGATAATTTTGGCAACCTTTGACTTATTAATAAGGTTGAAATGCAATATATTAGAAATTCCCTCATGCTTCTTTAGTTTTATTTTGTTTTCAGGAATTTATGACACCCGAATAACGTTGAAGAAGTGCAGAACTTAGTTGTGAAGTACTTGTGCTTCAAATTATGCAATGGAGGAACTCTTATCTGTTAAAAGATTACTAATTTCTGTCGAAGGCGAGGAGCTACCTGCAAGACATTAGAAATAAGCAAACTGGAATTAATCTTTAAAAGCCTCGATCGACTGATGTAATGGTCACCCGAATGACTGAATCTATTGTCTCCATAAATTAGCCTGTAAGACGGAACGAATACACATACAGGTTGCAGCACAGTGAACGACTTGACAAACCAAATTACTATTATATAAAATGAGCATATACCTGTCTACAATTCACCATCATATTGGTCTTTCTTGAAAAACATCTTCAAGAATTTCATAGTATGACCTCCTAATACAACATTCCGCACTATGACAGAATTTATTAGTATTGTAGGACTTCCCTGCATATACTAACTAAACATACTACAACACTTTAAAGTAGTTGAGAGAGCATCTAATTTGCATTAGAATGTCCAATTAATTAAAGTCTATTGGAATGTTGGTAAGAGTATCAAAATTGAGCTCGAAACAATATGAAAGAACAATAAAACCAAAAGTGTCTCTTCAAATTTCAATAACCTTGAAACTAAAATGGTTAAGTTTCAAATAAAACCCTACATCTGGAGTCCCCAAAAGCACGGAAAATAATTTAGAGGAATGAGCGACAAGACTCTTCAATATTTCGTTTGTTCAGGATATATTGCAAAAAATCTTATTGAATTATTAAGTTGTTCCAGGCATATCACCAAACACCTTGGGTTCATCAATCTTTCCCAAAATTATGACAACCGGATCAGAAAAAGTAATACATGTTCAGGAAAGAAAAAACAAAGAAGAAGCAACAACAAACCGAAAAGGAAAAAATGGAGCGCCATTTGTCCGGTATTTGTTAGCGGGAAAAAAGCCCTTTCATTTGCAATAGCAGTGGCAAGAGGGGAAGGACATGCGTGAAACCCAAAAGGCAAGCCACTGGAGCTTGTTAATAGGTCAGAATAGAAGCGAAATGCCGAAACTATCCTGATTGTTCGAAAAAACCACCACTTATATAGAATGATGAAAAGTATGCTCCATTACAAATTTCTATTTTATTTTATTTTCTTCTTTTTCTATGTGTGAACCGGCTCCTCCCGAGTTCTTGGAGTCTCCTTTTCCTTACATTTCGTTGATTGGGCCTTAGAGGCCTAATTTTATTTTCTATCTAGTCAGCCGAGTCTTTGGAGTTGACATACAAGTTGAAGACGATAAATGTGGGCTGGAAATTGAACTTTCAGGTTCCGAAAAGTTGAAAGCAGGCTGAAATACAGCTTGTATACACCGATAGACAGTGATATACGCTGATATAAATGGAAAAACCGCAGCAATGACAGGTCGAAGGATAAAGATGGGGCTAAGGCTGGCAACGGAACCGGGAGGTACCGGTTCCGGTCCGTTACCGGTTCCGTCTCGGTTTCGGATAGTACCGATTAGATCCGGTATTGTACCGGTCCGGGAGGGGTAACGGGTCCGTCCCGGTCCGATTCGGTTAGTTTTTTTTTTTTTTTTTTTATCTGAAATTTCAAATTATAGCCGTTGAGAGCCGTTGGGCAACGGGTTTTGGGCCCCACCAACGGCTCTTTCACCCCCCTTTACACCTCCCTACCCCCAAACTTTTTTTAATACCCCAAACTTCTTAAAACTACATTTTCATCCTTTTTTTTTAACTATAAATACCCCTAATCTTTCATTCTTTTCATTCACAAAAATATCTTCTAATCTCTCTACTCTCTACTCTCTAAATTCTCTTATTCTCGATTTCTCGTTAAAATTACGAATTTGATCTTTGGAAATTGGAGCTTCAAAATTCAACTTTTCAATTTTTCGGCTTCCGGTCATACACGTCTACTTAAAAAAGTAGACGTTTGGTACATTCGTTCCAACTCACCTATCATTTAGTTATTTATTTGTTTGCATTTAATTATTTATTTTGTGAGTAATAAATATCTAGTTTCTACTTATTTAGTTATTTATTTGTTTAAAACTTTGCTAATCATTTTCGTATTATATATAATTTACTCACTTTTTATATTTGAATATGGATTTCGGAAAAAACATTATTGAAAAGGGTAAAACAACCATAGTTAATTCGTTCACTAATTTATCTACCTCAAAATCCAAGAAAAATAAAAAAACCGGTAGTACTTCTCAATCTAAAACT